GGTGGCTGACAATGCTGCGCTGGTTGTGTCAATATGACTGTGAGCTGTGCCAGTGTGAGTGTGGTTGTGTCGATATGAGTGTAAGCTGTGCCAGTGTGAGTGTGGTTGTGTCGATATGAGTGTGAGCTGTGCCAGTGTGAGTGTGGTTGTGTCGATATGAGTGTGAGCTGTGCCAGTGTGAGTGTGGTTGTGTCGATATGAGTGTGAGCTGTGTCAGTGTGAGTGTGGTTGTGTCGATATGAGTGTGAGCGCCTGTGGGTAATTTTAAATAAAATGTGTTGAAAAATACTTGATTTTTATTGAAAAATTGTTTAAAGTAGGTACTCAAGTATAGAGTGTATGTTTTCACCTGTGCATATCATGTGGCAAAACATTCACGAGGCAAAACAATGAAAATATCTAACCGGATGGCTGTAGACAGGTTTTGGAGAACCATTAGTTTTTTTAATGTTTACGATGCTGCCATCTAGTGACACTTTTGTGAAATCACTTTGCAGTGATACTCATGTTTGTACCTCACAGTTCTTTTCTCAATACATTTTATGTTTTAATAATTTATATTGTATACCAACCAATGGGGAAATAATTACAAATGCATTAAGCATATTGTAGAAGCTGTAATTGATTTTTCAGCATGGTGCCATGAATGTGGCCACAGGGATTTTAATAATGGGATGTTGTAGGTAAAGTTTTGTGTCTTCTTCAATGTGCCGTTCTTTGTAAGTGATTGATAATTAAAGTGCTGCTTTTTCTATTTCTTGAGTTTTCTTAGAAAAATTGAGTTATAAAAACAAATCTTTGAAAATCTGAGCTGTAAAAATTGCTTCATAAAAGTTGCTTTCATTGGAAATGTTGAGAAGAAAAGATGGTTTAAAATTTAAAATAATTAACTTTTTTTCCATATGGAATTTCAGTATAATAAGTGTATCTTAAAATGTAAACAAATAAATGTGTGTATGTGTGTGTGTGTATTAAAGCTAAACAATCTGCAAACCTAGGATTTGATGACTTGATGACTTCTAAATTTTGATGAAGATTAACTATATTTATGTCCTATGGCCTATTACTCCTTAAATTTGCATTACAATGGAGCACTTGTCTCATTTTCATGATATGTATTGCTCATTTTTTTGGTGTAAAACAAAGAATAAATTAATCTCCCTTCCTCCCCCAAAAATCAGTTATATTGTGCTGGTAAGAATTTTCCTTTTGTGAGATACTATCTCCAGTCATATTATAATGAATGATGTTTTTAATTAATTAACTTTTCAGTATTTTGAGGTTCCTTTATGCAAACTAATGCTATAGAGTAGAAATAAGCAAATCTTTCTTTAGAGAACTAAGTAGCAAATATTTTAGGCTTTGTGGGCCATATGGTCCCTGTTGCAACAACTCATTTCTGCTGCTGTAGGGTAAAATCAGCCATGGACAATATTTAAACAAATAAGACTGGCTGTGATCCAGCATTAAATTTACAGAAACAGACCATACTTTGCATGCCTCTTCTCTAGGGAAAACACCTGTATTTCTAATTTGGGGTTAATTTTTCTTAGGAGGGGTTAATTTTTCTTAGGAGGTGTTAGAATACTTCTAAAATTTATTCAAATATTTACTTCAAAAACTTTAATTCTGCCTGTAATCCCAGCACTTTGGGGGTCCAAGGTGGGTGGATCATGAGGTCAGGAGTTTGAGAACAGTCTGGCCAACATGGTGAAACACTGTCTCTACTAAAAATACAAAAATTAGCTGGGCCTGGTGGCGGACACCTATAATCCCAGCTACTCAGGAGGCTGAGGCAGGAGAATCACTTGAGACTGGGAAGCAGAGGTTGCAGTGAGCTAAGACTACGCCACTGCACTCCAGCCTGGGCGACAGAGCAAGACTCTGTCTCAAAAACAAAACAAAACAAAACACCTTTAATTCCATTTCCATTAAGAGTTGTGTGCCTTCAGTACATTTGATTTAGTAAACTAATCATAAACAAAACCAGAGGTAAAATGTTTTGCAAAGTTCTATCACCTGTAATTAACGATCAGTTTTAAAATTCATGTTCATGTACAAAGTTGTCTCAATGTGGGAATGAATCTTTGTATTTTTCTCAGTAAACATTTTAACATTTTGATATGCAGAAAGTTAAATGACTTCGATCATTGGCAATTAAATTAGAAACTTACTACTTGGGTACAATTTGGATTATATGTATTCATTGTTCCATTTTGTGCTTCTGGGAATTTAGTGGAAACAGAGATTTGCTTTTTTTAACATTGTGAATGCCACTAGGCAGACACACAAAACTTTTAAAACCTCTTGACAAGTAAATAAAACAGAATGGGGTCAGATCAGAAGAGACTCTTAGGGTACAAAGTCACTGTGTATGGAGAAGACAGTACGGTTAACATTCAACTTTGAAATTCTCTCCCAAATAACTCCTTCTTCCTCTTTATTATTGGATAAGAATACTTTTAAAAAATTAAGCACCATATAAAAGAGCTGGCTCACATTGAGGATCTGTATTATATCAAAGTATGCATATTTGCTTACAGAATAGCTTTAAGCAAGAATTGATACCCTTATTCTAATATGAGAACTAAAATAATTCAAGCAAACCTTCGTCTTTTAATCTTTTGGCATCTTGTACTCTTTAAGAGAAATGGCAGCTGTAATTCCTAAGACCAAATAAAGGATGTCTTGCATTTTTTTGGACTGAGTGTATCAATTTGCTCTTGCCTTAAAGTGCTTTGTAACAAACCATCTCAAAACTTGTTGGCTTAAAACAATAACCATTGATTTATGGGTCACTTTGGTGTCAGAGCATCATGGTAGGACTTGGCTGAAAGGGATCTGCTAGTCTCAGCTGAGCTCATTCATGCTTCTGTGGCCAACTTTGAGGGGTGGGGAGGGCAAGTAGGAGCAGCTGATCCAGATTGAGTTCAGGTCAGGATGATTCTGATCCACATTTCTTTTATCTCCCATCTGGGCCAGCAGTTTGGCCCAAGCAAGTTCTACTCATAGAGACGGCAGACAGCAAGAAAGAGCAAGCTTAGGCACTCAAGTGAGTAAGTCAAATATTTGCATAAATACATTGCTTTAAGATAGTCATCCTACCTGAGACTTTTTATTACATGTGCTAACATTATTGGTCAAAACAAGTCACATGGCTGATCTCAGTGGCACAGACTTACACCTTGCCCACAGTGGGAGGAACTAAACATCTCGCAAATAACATGGGCACAAGAGAGGACAGAGAAGCAGAACTATTAGTACAATTTGTAACAGTGTATATACTTGAACTGATTAAATACGCACATAAAATGGGATTAAGTGCTAATCAAGAAAACTGTTGACTCTTTCAAATTACTAGGATAAACTAAAGCAGCAGTTCAGAAACTTTTTGTGAAAGGAAACCTTTAACACTCTTAAAAACCACTGAGGGCCAGACATGGTGGCTCATGCCTGTCATCCTAGCACTTTGGGAGGCCAAGACAGGCAAATCACGAGGTCAGGAGATCAACACCAAACTGGCTAACACGGTGAAACCCCGTCTCTAAAAAATAAATAAATAATAAAAATAAAAACCACTGAGGATCTTAGATTTGACATTGGCTCTGTATCTATATTCACTGTATCAACAATTAAAACAAAAATTTAAAATGTATTTATTTATTTTAGATTAACAATAAATACATTACATATTAACATAAGCATAATATTGTTGTACAAACTATATTTTCTTTAAAAATCAATAGCATTGTTACACTTGGCAAATCTTATTAACATCTGACTTAACAGAAGACAGCTGTTTTTTTTATACCTGCATTCAATCTCTTTTTTTTTTTTTTTGAATCTTACAAAGCAAATAGTTACTCATAGAGATATGTAGTCAGAAAAGGCAGGAGTAGTTGAATAGCCTTTCAGTCAATTTTGTGTATTCTTTGATATTGCATCAGAATTTGACAAGTGAGAACTTTTTAGGAGTTGTGGCATGGAATTTGAAACTGAATCACTGAACTTTCTGTACTTTATTATGTAAAAATGCATTGGCTGAACTTGCATTTTGAATAGATCTTTTATCAATGCACAAGATGTAACATTAAGCATTAGCCATTCAGAAAATATTGGTTTGTTGAATTATGTGTATTTTCCAAATATTGATATATTTAATCATATAATATTTTTAAATTATATATTACTACTATACTCATCAGAATTATCTCAATAATGGGAGCTAGTCCTACTCATGGAAGTGGATATAAGTTTTTCAGCATTCTAATTTCCCCTGGAAACTCCAATTTTATCATTGGGAACAAATGTTTAAGTTGTTTTCTTGAAGTGACACTCCATTTTCAAAAAAATATCTGTTAAAATACATCACACATATGAATTATCATTGTTTGTCAGTTGCTCTTTCATACAGAAATGGTTGTCCATGATATAAAAGTAGCAGGTTCAGCTTACAATTCAAATAATTGCATAAATACATTGCTTTAAGTTAGCCATCCTACCTCAGAATGTGGTCAAGGGCTTTATGTGTACTTCCCACATTCAACATTTAAAATATAAGAATTAAGACATTCAGATGTAAAGAAAATTGATGATGTTTACCTCTTTCACAAGGAGATTTTCATGTGAAACTTTCCCATCATGCCTCCAACTGAAAGGCTGGGACCACTGTAATGACTGCTGGTAGAGTTTGGTGCCGCTACCTTGGCTCCTGCTAAGGTGGCAGCTGCTTTACTCATCACTGCTTTTGCATTATCAATGCAAATGTCAATCCAGTGAAAAAGGCAAAGAATGTTTTAATATTATGACAATTGCTTTGATCTGGTGGGCCTCCTGAAAGGGTCCTGAGAATTGTGGATCATACTATGTGAATCATCACATCAAAGAGAAATCATAATTTATGGTACAAAAGTTTGTCAAATATTTTCTTAAAGATACTTATACTTATTATTTCTAATCATTAAGCAAATTTAACGCTTATTATTATGTTCTTTCCCTAGGGTTGTTATGTTGGCTTTGATCTAGCACATGCAGTTGGAAATGTTGAACTCAACTTGCATGACTGGGGAGTCGATTTTGCCTGCTGGTGTTCCTACAAGGTACAAATGAGTTCAGACAATTACATCCCTTTATTTCACATTGACATTAGTCTGAAAAAGAAACGATCTGTAGGCCAGTTTTAAGGATTTGAGTTACTTTCCCTATTTCTTTTATTATTATATTTTCTGATTTTAGTTAATAGAGTTATATGATGGAATAGTATAAATAATTTAATTCTAGTATTTCTGTCAATATAGAGAAATTAATCCTTCAGTTCCTAGGCTGCGATGAAAAAGTCAGGAGGTTTTGGAGAAAAAGTCCCACATGTAAATCAAATTGATGATCGTCTTAGTTTTTTTATTGATAAGTTGTGAAATTTCTGCATATGTAAAGATACTTTTTAGAGAATCAACTTAGAATTCATATTTGAAAACAATTTAATGACAGGGAGCATGAATATAAACCAATTCTAATTTACTTGTTTCAAAAATATACTTTTATTATTATTACAATATCTTAGGACAAAATAATTTCAACATATAAATTTTGAAGCCAGACTTCAGTAAAACTACTTTCTGCCTGCTGGAGCAAAATTTCCCCATAAAAGTAATAGACATTTATTATCAACCTAATAATACTATTTTAAATTTGTTTTTCTTTGAAGAAGGTGACCCAAGTTTTTTGTCACAAATACACAAATAATTACATATTTTGAATTGGTCAGAAGTTGTGGTTTCTATTAAAAAATTCAAATGACTGCATTGTTTAGTTTTGTCATATATTCAAGTAAACCCATATAATTTAATTTATTTTCAATCTAGTATTTAAATGCAGGAGCAGGAGGTATTGCTGGTGCCTTTGTTCATGAAAAGCATGCCCATACGATTAAACCTGCGTGAGTACCATCTTCAGATAATTCTTTGGTTATGAATAAATTAACTTTCATTAATAATATGTTAAATTTACATGAGTTATTTAAGATGATACCCAATAGGAATTAGGATTGGATTATAATTATTTTCTTACTCTACTAACAACAATTTACTTCATTTGAAATAAATCCTTTTCAAAGAATTCAACTGGTTGAACAAGAAATTTGATCAAAAAGGAAAGCTTTAGTGCCAAAATTGAGTCACTACAATCATGTAGGGCAGATGGTTTAATGCAGGGAGACCACTTCAATTTTTTTTTCAAAAATTATTAGACTTCAGAAAATTTCAGATTCCTCACATTGATGAATAAATCAAAGGCAACCAGAGCCGTGCCTAATAGAGCCTTCAATGTAGCATGTTATTATTAAAATTACATCTACCTTTAAAGCTATAAATGTTACATGATGGCTTGTAGGGAATATCTTCTGTCCTAAAAGACTTTATAATCCATGAAATCCGAAGAAGCTGAACACTGAACAACAGGCTGACTACATAAAAAGTAATACTTTTCTGTTTTATAGAACTCTTCATATTTTAGAGCAAGTATAAATGCAAATGTAATACACCAACAAACTTACACATTTTTATTTGACTGGGAAACTCGTAAGTGTTCCTTTTACTTTTTTTGTGGTGTGGATATAAAGAAACAATATGCTGGGAGAAAAAAAAAAAAACCTTTTCATAGTTGTTGTATTGACGTATGTGTGATGAGGAGACTGTCTAGACTCCTAATAGATAATGTAATAATGTTTGATTACTTTTCTGAATTTTCTCAGCCATGGGCTGAGTGGTATAATCTTTACAAGAATTGAAGCTGAATTAGTAATAGAGTTTGGAGCACCTCACATTTCTAAAGTTCTATGCATATAAATCCTAGGAATTTAAAATGATATTCTATAGTTTCTTTAATTGTGTCTAAAATTTTTTCAAGGTTTTAAACTTAAAGAGAACGTTTTCTTTAGACAGGTATTCAGTCAAGCAGACATCTTACTTGAATATCATTATTAGTGCATTATATTTCCCTCCATGTCCCAACATCTCTGAGAAGATTAAAAAGCATATATTATAGGAATACCACGTTTTCCACATAGACAGTATATAAGATATTGCTTGTTTCTGTATAATGACTCAAAACTCTGGCTATTTCTCATTCTCCATTTATTCAAATTCAGATAAAGGACCTGATATATTATATCAACCCAAAGGGGAAGCCAGTCCCGGGTTGGAGGGGATGGTGGGGAGGAAGAAGTAATATACACAAATTCTAGAGATGTCAGTGTTAGGAGTTAATCTTTGACCTCCTAACATGCACAGGTCTTGCACTTGAGATTTCTCTCACCATGAACAAGGAACAAGGGCAAAGGGGCTGTATTGTTCACATATGCCTCATTTTGTGGAATTTCAAAATCTTCTAGACAATGTTTAAATCTATGTTAAGTTTATGCTCCCAGGAGAAAGACCATCTAGGTAGACCAGGTTCACAGTTCACCTTGGTCTCTTGGTGGTCTGTAACCTGGAGAATCTTCTTTGACTGTTCAGTGTTCTGGTCTCTGAACTGAGATAATATCAGCCCCTACCTATAAGCAGTTATTGTGAGAATAAAATGAGTGGATGTATGTAAAACACTAAATGTAGCCACTAAATAATTTAGTATGGTTTGGATTAGTGTCCTCACCCAGATCTCATGTAGAATTGTAATCCCCAATGTTGGAGCAGGGGCCTGGTAGGAGGTGATGGGATAATGGGGGCAGACTTCCCCCTTGCTGTTCTCATGATAGAGTTCTTATGAGATCTGATTGTTTAAAGTGTGTAGCACCTCCTCGTTCTCCCTGTTCCTACTGCTCTGGCCATGTCAGATGTGCCTGCTTCCCCTTTGCCCTCTGCCATAATTGTAAGTTTCCTGAGACCTCCCCAGCCATGCTTCCTGTACAGCCTGCAGAACTGTGAACAAATTAAACCTCTTTTTTTTTTTAACGAATTATGAAGTCTCATGTAGTTCTTTGCAGCAGTGAGAGAATGGACTAATATGGCATTATACATGATCAATATGTGTGGGGTTATATAAAAAAATTAAAATTTAAAAAATACGGGAAAAAGATGGGTCACATTCTGTAACACCCTAGCCCACATATTGTTTGATAATTATTTTGTACTGACTTCTACCTACTTTGTAGACTCACTGTGAATTTGCATGCTAACATGTAGACTTTTGCTCAGTGGTGACCATTTCTCTCAAGCAGAAAATATGACCCCAAAGTTTATGGTTTGTAATTTTGTAGGACATTAGTTTATAACTATTACCGAGTTTATTTTTGCGGACCTTTGATGAACTGACTGTACAAGATAATCTCCATTCCTTGGAGATATAATCTCTCTTATATGCTGTAAGAGAGTTTTCTGGCCTTCCTACCATCTTACTGATTCCCCCCCTATTTAGTGGGTTGAATGAGATTTTTCACAGCTGTTTATTTTGTATGTGTATGAGAACCTTGCTTTTAGCTTTTTTGGAAAATTGTATGTTATTAGCTATTGTTGCATTTTAACAATTTAGCTATGGAAATTTATGGGACTTAAATTGGGCTTGACTGAAGGACACGTTAATGAAACCTTTGTTGTTTTTCTGTTTATTGTTTTCTCACACTCTTAAAACTTCTTATTAAGTGATGTCAGTGACTAGTTTCAGTGCTGTCACCTGCTAGCCTTGGCTCTCTATTCTGTACTAGGTATCTTATGTTGTACTTAATTTGTGTTAGGAGAATGGAGCACTTTTATCATTCCTAATAAATGCAGCAGATTTGAACAAATCAAGAACAAAATATTTTCCAGTCATCTCTTCTTTGTCCCTGATAAGAAAAGAAGTGTTTGCTGAAACTGCACTTTGTGTCCCTTAGTGCGTTTTAGTTTTTTATTCATCTGAAAATCAAATACCACCTGAGAAGAGCCATAAAGACCCGAAAGCTTTACAGTATCACGCGGCCCAAATAAGGCCGATTGTTCAGATGTTACAATAATGTTCCATATATAAAAGTATTGTGAAGATGGGGGACAGAAAGTTTTCTTGTGATTATTATTATTATTTTTGAGATGGAGTCTCACTCTGTTGCCCAGGCTGGAGTGCAGTGGCATGATCTTGGCTTACTGTAAACTTCACCTCCTGGGTTCAAGCAATTCTCCTGTCTCAGCCTCCCAAGTAGCTGGAACTACAGGTGCCTGCCACCACACCTGGATAATTTTCCATTTTTAGTAGAGACAGGGTTTCACCTTGTTGGCCAGGCTATTCTCAAACTCCTGAGGTCAGGTCATCCACCCTCCTCAGCCTCCCAAAGTGTTGGGATTACAGGCGTGCGCCACTGCACCCGGCTACGAATACCATTTATATTCCAAGGTCAAATCCAATTTAAATTTTCTGTAAACTTTAGAGTCTGTATGACTACTGACTGTATTTGCCAATTAATAATTATATTTCAATTGTTAGAACTCCAAGATCAGCCGGTTTATGTTTAATAAGCTTTACTTTTCTCCTTACTTTTCTGTTTTCTCTTAGAGCTTTAGAGAGACCAAAGAGTTTTTTACTGTTAAGGAATTCGGTATGTAGCAGAGAACCATATGGAGAGCATCAAATATAGTGGGATGAATATAACTGCTATTGATGTCACACTTTGTAAAGCAGTCTTTGTTGCTTAAAAAGGGTGACATCTAGTGGCTAAACATGTTATTTCAAATAAATAATATCCAAATAACATTTCTTCTCCTGGTCCACTCATTCACTCTTTAACAAGTATTTTACAGTACCTGTTATTTTAAATATATGCTTGAATTATGTGTTCTTCTTTTTGATAATTTGACTATATGTTGATAGTGTAATAATTATGCAGTTGAAGCCTTCAATAATGAGGTAGAATGTGAAGAAAATTGGAAGGAAGGCTGAGGGGGCATTCTAGGTGCTTGGTTAAACAGAAAACTTAACCGTTCATAAAGGCTGAGCTAAGAAAGGAATTATAAGCATGGGTGACCCACCTGGTATAGAGACTGTATCCCCAGATATATAACATTGCATTTTAGAAGCCTAATATTTGGTATATAATTTTGAAATAGCCCTTTATGTGATGTTTCCATTAGCAACTGGAAAATTGCATCTGTACCAAAATATTTCACTTCCTTTTTTGTTTAAATATACATGTTGGACATTGTTCAAAACCTATGACCTAAGGCTTTTCCAAGAGCCCTTTGCCTATAAAGAGAATGAGTAAATTAGACACCAGAGTCAACCCACTACATTAAGCATCATAACTCAAGCTGTTATTCTCAACTAAAATTTAACCTTTTCCTAATTCATTATTACCTTTGTTCATTGCAATGTCATATTCTAAACTTTGTCTGTACAGTAAATTAAGACTTGTCATGAATAAATCACTTATTTGATGCTTTTGCCTCACTTCAAGGCAGACTTTAATTCAGTCTGTACAGTTATTTATTACTCTGAGACAAGAAGGGAACTACTCTTTTTTTTAAATTGCATTTTAAGTTTTGGGGTACATGTGAAGAACATGCAAGATTGTTGCATAGGTACACACGTGGCAGTGTGATTTGCTGCCTTCCTCCCCATCACCTGTATCTGGCATTTCTCCCCATGCTCTCTCTCCCCAACTCCCCACACCCCACTGTCCCTCCCCTGTTTCCCCCCGACAGACCCCAGGGTGTGATGCTGTCCTCCCTGGGTCCATGTGTTCTCATTGTTCAACACCAGCCTATGAGTGAGAACATGCGGTGTTTGGTTTTCTGTTCTTGTGTCAGTTTGCTGAGAATGATGGTTTCCAGATTAATCCATGTCCCTGCAAAGGACACGAACTCATCGTTTTTCATGGCTGCATAGTATTCCATGGTGTATATGTGACACATTTTCCCTGTCTAGTCTGTCATTGAAGGGCATTTGGGTTGGTTCCAGGTGTTTGCTATTGTAAAC